TCCACCTTGCACTTTCTTTGGAGATGTGCTCTTCTTCATGCCACTCTGCTTTCGCCCTCATCCTCTCTGCCCACCAATACCCCCTTCCAGCGCTGGACTGGCTGCCAGCCCTCTATCCGCCATCTTTGAGTGTGGGGGTGTGTCACCCATGTCCTTGTCAATCCCGCCGATCGTTCACGTCAGGGTGGGAAGCTTGCTCTCATGAGACAGCTCTGTGCGTTCCATGTCTTCAAAGCCCGTTGTTGCGCCAAAAGCTTCACCCAACATGAAGGCATCGACTACTTTGCCACCTACTCCCCCACTGCCCGACTCCCTACTCTTCGCCTCCTCCTTGATTTTTGCCCATTGGGATTGGGAGATTCACTCCATGGATGTCTCCAATGCCTTTCTCGAGGGTGAGCTTCATGAACGCAGTTCCCTTGAGCGCCTCACTGGCTTTCCTCGCCCCTTCCTTCCAGGCACTGTCTGGGAGCTAAAGCACCAAGTGTAGGGTCTTAAACAGGCCCCACGCGACTGGCATGCTAAGCCAGCCTCCACTCTTCACTCTCTTGGCTTCTCCACCTCCTCTTCCGACCCCAGTCTCTTCATTCGCACTTCCCACAACAGGCTTTACATTCTTGCCTACATCGATGGCTTGGTGTTCCTCATGGAAGTTTTTGCCGACCCTGCCGCTGTCATGAAGGCAATTCAGGCCCGTAACCTGTGCAAGGATCTTGGCAGGCTTCGCCATTACCTCGGCATGGAGATTCATCGCGATCGTGCTACGCCCACCCTCTCTCTTTCTCAATCCTTCTACTTCCACCCCATCCTCGAGCGATTTGAAATGTCGCAGGCCAAACTGGTCTCCACTCCTCTTCTCGCTAAACATCAGCATACTGCCACTGCCGTCCCCGCTCCCTCCTCTAAATTGTGGCCATATACTGACCTCGTTGGGTCACTCATGTATGCTATGATGTGCACTCGCCCCGACCTTGCTTACCCCCTCAGTGTCCTCTCTCGTCGCTTTGTCGGCCTAGGCCGCCATACTGACGTGCACTGGGCGGCTGCCAAGCATGTCCTACGGTGTCTCCGCGCCACCTCTGATATCACCCTCACTCTTGGTGGCTCAGCCCCTCCCGTTCTTTCATGTTACATTGACTCTTCCTATGCAGACTCTCACCCAGATTGTCCCTCTTTTTAGGGATATGGCTTTACTTTCAGTAGTGGCCTCATCAGTTGACGATCCACTTGCTCCTCCTTTATCTCCCATTCCTCATGTGAGGCTGAGCTGTACGCTGGCACGTTGGCTACTCAGGAGGCCCATTGGCTTTCCTTTTTTCTTGCTGAGTTGGGCCACTCTCAGCCCTCTGAGACACTTGCGTGTGACAGTGCAAGCATGATTCATTTCACTGAGAATCCTGTCTATAATGCCCGAAACAAACACTTTGAGGTGCGGTACCTTTTCGTTCGTGAGCTAGTGCAGTCTGGCTTCCTCTGCCTTCGCAAGGTGGCCTCGGATGCCAACCTTGTTGATATCTTCATGAAGGCTCTCCTTCGTGCGCCGCACTGGTTCTACGTCCGCACTCTTGGACTCTCTCGACTTTCCACTTATGGGGGTTCCAGTTCGCTAGGCGCTCCTCTTCACAGCTTCACCTAGCTCGGAGGTGTGTTGGAGTAGGCTAGTGTTCACTCTGCCTTTTTTATTTTGGCCTTACATTATTTTGGCCTTACATTATTTTTTGGCCAGTTTTCGACTTAATTCTATTTCTGCTTCATTTTAGGTTCACATTGCAATTTGTTCTTGCATTGAAAACATCTTAGGTTCAGCTAGGGCTTCACATCTCTATGCTTTAAATGTATCTCGACACTTTCTCGAATCAACTCATTCAACCATTCTCTCTAGTGAAGCTTAGACCCTTAGGCACCCGGCGCGTTACTCCTCACCTACTCGAAATTACCGTTTTCTATCATCTTTACGATCCCCCCTTAGGCAGCTGCGCGACCCTCTTAAAGCGGTCGCAGACACCCCTAGTCGCCTCCCACGACCGTCGCGCGCCTGGGTCGTTGCGCGCGCCCTGCCCCATCGCCGCGCGCGCTCTGGCCCGTCGTCGTGCACCCTGCCCCGCTGCCGCGCACGCTCTGTCCCGTCTCTACGCGTGCCCTGCCCCATCGTCGAGGCCCCCCCTGCCCTCTGGTTGCACGCGTTCTCTCCGCCTTCACGCGCTCGACCTCATCTCCTCGTGGCCGCCCTTTCTTATCCTCTCGCGAGCGCCCTCACTTCCTTTCTCGCTGGTGCCTGGCCTCCTCTCCTCTTGGGCACCTTGCCTCTCTTCATCGAGCGCCTTCCCAGCCTCTCGCACCCCACATTGATCTTATCCGTCCACCACATCCGCCTCTTCACTCTCCTCCTCTCTTCTCTCCTCCCTCTCCTTCGTGCCTCTCCTCCCTTCCTCCACCTCCTTCCCCTCTGCATCAACTGCAGCTGGCTATTGGTTGCTGGTTGCCACTTCGTAACCGTGCTCCTTCGTCCTCCCCACAATCCGCCCCTTCACCCACCACTATCTCACCTCTTCCTCTGCCTCTTTCCTCTCCTCATCTCCTACGGGAGGTATCTGACTGTCTCCTGCCGTGTTCTTCTTCCCCACCTTTCCTCCTCCATATCCTCCAATCAACTGCTCAACTACAACCTCCTCCACTGTTACCCCTCCTCCTCTTCGTTCTCCCCCCAGCGGCTTCGCAGCCGACGCCTCCGCCATTACCCCTCCTCCTCTTATTTCTCCCCTCAATGGCGTAGCAACAGACTACTCTGCCGTTATCTCTCCTCCTCTTGTTTCTCCCCTCAACAGCACAGCAGCAGACTATGTTGAGATAGTAAGCAGGAATTAGAACAGAAAAGGGGGTTTGACTAACAGGCAGGTGGGATACAAGTAGGACCCTAACAGGGTTGTACTCACTACAGCGTACCCCACTGCAGCCTACACAATATCATATTCTGACACACCCCCATAGGCTAAGTGGGGTATAATCAGCACAGCTAGCAATCACATAAGAAGTTCACATGCATAAGCTAGTAGTGGAAACAGAGGGCAAGTGAGGCGGAGGAAGAAGAACTAAGGGAGGAGAGGAGATAGGAGGCGACGGCTGAAGCTGCTGGCACACGGGCGACTGGAGCAACAGGCACACTGGCTACCGGAGCACGACGGCACCGGACTACGGGAGTAACTGGCTCCGCAGCTACGCCGAGCGGCTGGAGCAACTGACCCACGGGCAACTGGTACAACGGGCTCGCTGGCTACCAGAGCACGCCGGCTCCGGACTACTGGCGCTGGTGGCGTCACGACGGCTACCTCAGCTCAACCTCCACCCACTGTCCCAATCCCCTTTTCACACACCCCCTGCTGCACTCCTAGCGCCAATCCCACTGCACCCCCTAGCGTGACTCCCTCGGCTCCCACACACCCACCCCCCTCAGCGCCAGCTGCAGTAGTGGGAGAGAGAGAAAGAGGAGGAGCAAGGGACGACGCACACCCGCCACCCCCATACCCGCCACCTCCATACCCTCCCCCACGGCTGCACGCGCAGCAGAGAGACGACGGGGAAGGACGGGGAGGGGGGGGGGGGGGGGGGGGAGAAGCCGCCCCGCAGCTGCACGAGGGCAAGGGGCGGCGCGCAGCTCCACAGGGCAGCACGCGCGGGTCCACGGGGCAGCGCGCGAGGGTCCTCTGGGGCGACGCGCGGGTCGACAGGGGTAGCGCGCGGGTCGACGGGGCAGCGCACGCGGGTCCCCTGGGGCGACGCGCTGGAACCGCAGGGCGTCGCGCGGGTCCAGCGGGGGCGGCGCGCGGGTCCAGCGGGGCAGCGCGCGGGTCCCGCAGGGAATCGCGCGGGACGAGCGGAGGGGGGGCGCGCGGGTCCCACAGGGCGACGCGTCGGGCAAGAAACCGCCGCGCGCCCCGTGCGCGGGCGGGAAGAAAAAAACGCCACGCGCCCCGAGCGCGCGGCAGGCAGAAAACGTCGCGCGCCCGGGGCGCGCGATAGGCAGGACAGCAACGGAAGCATAGGGAGGGCCCACCCACAGGATCGACCAGGGAGGGTCGATCTGCTCTGATAGCATGTTGAGATAGTAAGCAGGAATTAGAACAGAAAAGGGGGTTTGACTAACAGGCAGGTGGGATACAAGTAGGAAACCCTAACAGGGTTGTACTCACTACAGCGTACCCCACTGCAGCCTACACAATATCATATTCTCACAGACTACTCTGCCATCATTCCTCCACCTCTAACTTCTCCCCTCAATGGCTTAGCATTTGACGTGGACAACCGCTTTCAAAGCGATATGGGAGGACCCATTAATGGCCTTCCAACCACCTTAAAGAATGCAGGAAGGGTGATGCAAAATGCATTTCACCTTCATCTCATCAGTTACTAGTTCGGATGGTTGTATATTTGTTGTAACGTACTTCCAATAGAAAAAAACAAATCATAGAAGGAATAAAATGCAAGAGTTGGGAGATGGAAAGTTTATGTTGTACTTCAACATTTTTATCAACCCAACACACATTATCAAAAGGGTGCACCGGATGTGTGAAGACAGGGGAGTAGAGGTGGCACCTTCGATCCTTCTCTAGGCTAAGCCACCCTGCTCCGCTCGAACGAGTCGTGCAGAACATAATGGGTGGCCTCGACGATGGGGACTCGCGCCTGCTACCCTACCCTCGCCTGCCCCCGCTTGCTCGCCCTGAAGACATGGGAGTGGAGGCGGCTTTGTGACGCCAAAAATGAGGTGTCGTGGGAGAGATGATGGTCCTAGGGGAAAACATCAAAACGAACGCGCCAGCAGGGGGTCGAACCTTAGACCTCTCGCTTAGGAAGTGAACACTCTATCCACTGAGTTACAGACGCTGGTAAGTTAGAGAACTATAATTATAATACATTGAAAACGTCCGAAGTTTCCCGCGAGTCGTTTGAGTTGATGAGAGCCACCTTTGTCCCTCTCTATTGGTCGAGAAATTCGCGCGGCGATGGAGTTCGTGTCGCCTGAGCAGCTGCGGCTCGACGGCCGACGACCCAAAGAGGTAACCGTTGAACGCCCGACGTGTCGCAGAGAGGCGCGCTTTAAATATAATCCAGACGCGCCGCCCATTGGACGACCGTAAATTAGACACGTGCAGTGTCCTATCCGCTAGGCACGGTAACGGACCGCGTTGGTACCCAATAGGTAGACGAGTTGCTCATGTATCGAGCGTATGACCCCGAGCGCATCCTCGAGTCCCGTTCAAGTGCTCCACAACAAGCGAACGCCAGCCCTTGTATCACCCTGCTTCGTCTCCTCTGCGCGTCCCCATTCCCGTTTTCCCTCCGTTCTTGCCCTGAAATGTTCTCCCCGTCCCCCGTCCCCTCCCCTCCGCTCCCCCACTCCCCCTCACCGCGTGCAGCTACGGCAGCTCAAGTGCGAGCTGGGCGTGCTGCGCTCGGCTGATGGGTGGGTGAGATGCTCTCTTCGTGCTTCCCCCCACTTGCCCCTCCCACCGCCGCATGCATGCTTGCCTGCCCGCCCCATGCATCTCTGCCCGCCCCATGCTTGTTGCACTCCCTCTCGTCTCCTGCTCACCTTTGTCACCCGCCCACGTCCCCCCACCCCCACTCCCTTCCCTTCGTCTGCTCGTTGCTTCCGTATCTATCTTCCCCTCTGCCAGATCTCCCCACACTTCCCCTCCCCATTTCCCCCCCTTCCCGCTCTCTCCCTCTCCCTCCCTTGCCACCTCCTCCCCGCCACCCCTGCCTCCTTCCAACCCTTCACCGCCCCCCTCCTCGTATGCGTGCCACTGGCGCCCACCAGCTCAGCGTCATTCGAGATGGGCAACACCAAGGTGCTCGCAGTCGTGTATGGCCCGCGCGAGGTGAGGCTTCAAGGTTCTGGGCTCTGGGGGGGGGTTCAAGACTTGGGGTTCAGGGGGTTTGGGGTTTGAAGGGTTCAATTCAAGGTTGTGGTTCGTCTTCATGGTTGGTTCGTGTTCATGGTTGGTTCTGGGTCCAAGGTTCTAGGGTTCGGCCTTCAGGGTTCAGGTTCAAGGTTTGGAGTATAGGGTTCAGAATTTGGGGTTCGAGCTCAAGGTTTTGGGTTTGGGGTTTCGAGAGGTTTGGTCGGGGTTCAGGGGTTAATACAGGCTTGTGTTTATGAGAAACTTGCCAGTCTGCTGCTAGTTATGGGGTTGGGAAGCATTGGTGCTGGATAAAGTTGGTGCCGGCTTACTGGAAAGGAGTGGTTTAGAAGGAAGAGGTAGGAAGAGGTGGAAGGAAGAGGTGGAGGGAAGGGGTGCGCTTTGAGATGGTAATGAGAAGGAATGAATGTTTTACTGCGTTCTAACGTTTCAATAAAAAAAAAAACTGAAGGATTTGAGGGTCTTGAGATAATCTGTTTGCGCTGGGGTTGTGGTGCGCACATGATAGAATGAAAGCTGCATGTGGTGGTGCAACCGCAGAGGAAGTGCGAGTATTACAGGTTGATGGTCAACTGTTGATCAATCAATGTGCAGGAAGTACAACTGCCTGCGCTCTGTCGTCATCATCCCCTCCTGGCCCCGTCCCTTTTCTCCTGATATCTCCCATTTTCATATCTCCCATTTTCATATCTCCCATTTTCATATCTCCCATTTTCATATCTCCCAGGTGAACAACCGACCAGACGCCTTCCAGGCAGGGAGGTGGTGCGGTGTGTGTGAGTATGGCTGCTGCTGCCCCTCACCTTGTAGGCTTGTACCACCTTCATTTCGCTCCGCCGCCCCCCATCCCATGTTTCCCCCAGGTGACTAACCGTGCAGACGCCCTGCCAGACAGGGCGGTGGTGCGGTGCGAGTATGGCATGGCTGCTGCCGCCCCTCATGCTGTATTTCCTTTATTTCTCTCCCCCCACCATTTTCCATGTGTCCCCCAGGTGACCAACCGAGCGGACGCCCTGCCAGACAGGGCGGTGGTGCGGTGCGAGTATGGCATGGCTGCTGCCGCCCCTCATGCTGTATTTCCTTTATTTCTCTCCCCCCACCATTTCCCATGTGTCCCCCAGGTGACCAACCGAGCGGACGCCCTGCCAGACAGGGCGGTGGTGCGGTGCGAGTATGGCATGGCGGCCTTCAGCACGGGGGAGAGACGGCGACGAGGAAAGATGGACCGGTGGGTGTGCGGTTTGGCCTTGAATGTGTAGGCGTGGTGGGCATGGCGTGGCATGCGTGTGAGTATGGTATGGTGGCTGGCATTCTGCACGGGGGAGAGACGGCGACGAGGAAAGATGGACTGGTGGGCCTGTGGTGTGGCATGTGGGGTGTGAGGGTGTGGCATGGGGTGTGCGGCATTCAGCACAGGGAAGCGGCGGCGATGTGGGGAGATGGACCGGTGGGTGTGTGGGCACGGGATGGGTATGATATGACATGGGGCTGTATCGTCATGTGGTCTGCACAATGGTACGGTATGGGGATGTAGCTTTCTAAGGCGTGCGACTGGCATGTGGTCTTATCGGGCTGTGGCTTTATGAGCGTGTGACTATGTGGGCATGTGGTTGGAACCAAATGGGGTTGTGTTTGCATGTTTGTGTATGGAGCAGCCTTCGTATCTCACAAGGTCCCCTATGTGCCACTCGGTCTGTGTGTGTGGGGGTGTGTGTGTGTGTGTGTGTGCGCGCGCGTGTGTGTGTGTGGTTGTGGATGTGCCTGGGTGATGGTGTGGGTGTACATCTGTGTTTGCATGACTGTGAGTGCATGTGACCGTGGGTGCATGTCATGTGACTGACTCTGGGTGTGACTGTAAGCGCATGTGACTGCATGCATGTGACTGTATCAGGCGGTCAGTGGAGATATCACTGGTCATTCGGCAAACACTCGAAGCAGCCATCATGCTCGAGCTCCTACCACGCACACAGGTGATAAGCGGTGATGTGTGGTGAAAAGAGGTTGTCTCCGGCTCACAGGTGACATGACCTGCTGCTCCACACGCCGGGGAAGCATGGGTCTATGGTGGTGGGTTCTGGTCTTTTACATGATAATAAGATTGTTTTGAAACACCACGAAACAAATGTCTTCTTCTCGTCTTCCCCATCCTGCTTCTCATTCGCCATCACCCCGTCTCATTCCACTCTGTTCCCTGCCTCTTGTTGCACATTTCAGATTGACATTTTTGTTCAAGTCTTGCAAGCTGATGGCGGTAAGGCATGGCTTGAAGGCATGGTGGGATGGGATGTATGCATCATCCCCCTCACTCCCTTCACCTCCATCCATCCCTCCCCTACTTCCATCATCCTCTGTCCATCCCGTTTGTCTCAAATCAAAATCCTTCTCCGTTAGATAAGAGGTCATGAATGTCGATGGCAGCGCAGCATGGTTTTCCTTCTGGAGTGAAATTTTGGAGTGCTAGACCTGCTTCCTTCTCACAATGGCTTTTGGCTTTGCATTGTGCATCGTACATTACAGCCTCATTCGGCTTGCCATGGTCGAGATTCTTCTATCATTCATGCTTTTGTGTTACGGCCTCATTCCATTAAGACCACCCTCGTGAAATGTTCACTAGCGCAGCATGTGACGAGCATATTCTTCTTTCCTTTAATCAAATAAAAGTTTGACACAAAATTTGACTCATATTCTTCAATTCCTCACGAGCTGCCAAGCCTGTTCACAAGCCATGGCTGAATAGCTTGAAAAGCTGCTTCTTCTTTGGCCCACAAGCATGCTCTTTTGTCTCCCCTTCCTTTCCACCAATTATATCCTGTCTCACGGATTCTCAGCTGACCCGTGCCACACACACATTAAATGCCACTCCCCTCTGCGTCACTTGCTCCCCTACCACGCCTCCCCAGGCACTCGCTCCGCATGCATCAATGCAGCGACACTCGCGCTGTGCCATGCAGGCATCCCCATGCGAGACCTGGTTACCAGCTGCGCCTCTGGTTACCTCAATGCCACGCCGCTTCTAGGTGAGTGCTGGCTCTCCAGGCGCCTAAAAGAATGCGACACCTGGTGATTAGTTGCGTGCAACTTTGGTAATGTTAAGGCCGCACCGTTGTTCGGCGAAAATACCACTGGACTGCCACGTGGCAGCTCATGCACATCTGGTTACCAGCAAGGCACTTGGTTGTGCGTCAATGCCATGAAGTCCCTGACCTATGGGCAGGTGAGATCAGCACCAGGATGGTACAGTTTGGTGTCACCTCTGCCACCACTGCCACCACTGCTGCCACCTCTTTGTGATGTATCAGCCACGTTTTGCATTGCATCGCACTGTCGCCTCCTTGTCATTCACTTCCTTCTCCCCTCTCCCCTTTCACCTCCCACCTCTCACCCCTCCCCATGCAAACCGGAGCTATGCGGTAAGGAGGATAGTGGTGGTTACCCAGGCGTGGCACTCTCTGCGTCTGCCTTCACCCACGCTCCCAACCTTGTGTGCCATATGTTCCTTGCCGTACCTCTCACATCCCCCCTCGCCACGCTCTCTAAGCTCCCTCTCTCCTCCCTGCTCTCGCCTCTCTCTTCTCTTTTCTCTCCTCTCCCCGCATCCCTCCCCCCTCCCCGCCCATGTGCCAGACCTGAATTATGTGGAGGACAGCGGGGGCGGCCCAGACGTTACGGTGGGCTACTTGCCATCGTCTGATAAGATCTCACTGCTGCAGGTGGGGTGGCTTGCTGCAGGTGGGGTTTTTGCAGGCGTGGTTGTTTGCGCATATGGTCGCACGAGTCACAGTTGGTAGGAACGGGTCATGCAATCATGCACGTCATGTCACGGTGGGCTACTTGCCATTGTCCGATAAGATCTCACTGCTGCAGGTGGGGTTGCGTGCTGCAGGTGGGGTTGCTTGCAGTCACAGGCTGCAAGGCCATGGATCTTTGATATGTCTCAAAACACCCTCCTCGCCCTCCTCACGCCCTCTTTTCCCTCCTCACGCCCTCTTTTCCCTCCTCACGCCCTCTTTTCCCTCCTCACGCCCTCTTTTCCCTCCTCACGCCCTCTTTTCCCTCCTCACGCCCTCTTTTCCCTCCTCACGCCCTCTTTTCCCTCCTCACGCCCTCTTTTCCCTCCTCACGCCATCTTTTCCCTCCTCACGCCCTCTTTTCCCTCCTCACGCCCTCTTTTCCCTCCTCACGCCCTCTTTTCCCTCCTCACGCCCTCTTTTCCCTCCTCACGCCCTCTTTTCCCTCCTCACGCCCTCTTTTCCCTCCTCACGCCCTGCGTTGCCACAGATGGACGCCAAGCTCCCAATGGACACATTCGAGGAGGTGGTGAAGCTCGCGGTCACGGGATGCAAGGCCATAGCGCACCGCATGAGACAGGTGAGATTTCATGGCAAAGAGGATGCTTTTTGGAGGGTGGGGGGGATGAGGGAGTTATATCATTGGCTGGTTCTTTTCCAAGAAAGCTACCCTGGTTTGGTTAGTTTGACTATGATATGTGGAATGTGTGTTGCGCAGGTACTGCTGGAGCATACAGAGCGGTTAGCACTTGCACGAGGGGCAATGCAATTGTAGATGGGTGAAGGTTAGGGATGTAAGAAGCAACACAAGTGCACACGTGAGCTAGTTACTTTGATTTTATTGTGTTCGTTGGTGCTTGTTTTCTGCTGTTGCTTCCTCTTCTGTCTTTGTGAGCTTTCAGCGAAAGCTTTGCATTCATTCCACCAAAGCTTTCCAGCATATGTTTGAGTTAAAATGGGCACTGATATTATAATTACATGGATATACATTTGAAAGTATGGTACATGTAAAAACATGTAGAAATACAGTAAGAATGCACTGGCATCCGTGCTTCAGCAATGCTCAGCTTCTCTGCACTTTATGGAACTCCTGAACGTGGACAGAACAGAGGAGGGCATGGGACACATGAAGGAGAGAACAAGTGGGGAGGGATAGAGAGAGTCATGCGTGCATGCATGGGCATGCCATGTCTGTACGTGTTGATGTGTGCGCACACACACATGATTGCATGTGCATGCTGCACACACATGTGCATGCTGCACACACATGTGCAGAGTACCAAGGGCAGAGTGCAGTGTGTAGCGTGCTGTGAGTATAGTGTGAGCATGCATGGCAAGGGAAGGTACAGAAATCCCATGTGTGCCACATGCACCCTTCTTCTCCTGTTCAAGCCCATACACCCAGCCCTTTTGCAGTGCACCGCAAGTCCTGGACTTCAGATGCGATCTCAGCACCAGCCACATCGCTTGCGATTCTCCACTTGCACGCAATGAGCACAATACCCCTGTGACATGAATTCCCTCCTGTGCTCTTCAGATCAGGAAGGTGCGACGGCGTCAAGGAGTGCTTGATCTCCTTCTGACTGCTCCTCATCCCCAACTGGCAAACAGCCACCTCAGGCCGCTTTTGAGTCGATCAAATATCACCCCCACTCCCCCCTCCCCACCCCTCACCTGGTACAGTCGCTGTGTGCTCGCGACCAGGCTTCCAAGGGTGCATATATCAGCAAGGCACACGAGAGCACCATCACGAGGCCAGTCAGGCAGACACACGCAAACACTCACATACTGCTAACGCCTCGAGCCTATGCTCGCTCCCCACCCCTCACCCAATACAGTTGTCGTGCACGCACCACGAGGCTCGGAAGGGCGCGGATGTCAGCAAGGCATACGAAGGCCATGAGTAGGAAGATAAGGAATGGTGGGGCAAGGCAGAAGCAGCGGAGCCCCTAATCTCCCTCTGGTCTCTCCTGAACCCTCACCTGGTGCAGCCATCTTGTTTGAGTCACCAGGTTCAGAAGAGCACAGATGGCAGCAAGGCACACGAGGGCCATGACGAGGAAGGTGAGACAGTACAGTGGAAGCAGGAGCACCCCTTCAGCCGATGCTCGCTCCTCACCCCCCACCCCTCAACCCTCAACCCCCACCCCTCACCCCCCCCCACAACCCCCCCCCCTCAACCCCCACCCCTCAACCCCCACCCCTCAACCCCCACCCCTCAACCCCCACCCCTCACCTGGTACAGGCGTCTTGTGCGGGTCACCAGGTTCAGAAGGGGGCAGATGCCAGCAAGGCACACAAGGGCCATGACCAGAAAGGTGAGGCGGAAGCAGTTCGGCCCCATGCACCGGTGGGGTAGCTGTGATGCCTGCCGTATCAGTTGAGCCTCTGCTGCCCCAGCTGCTCCTACTGCTAGCAGTATGGTCACTAGCTACCCCTCACCTGGTACAGGCGTCTTGTGCGGGACACCAGGTTGAGAAGAGCACAGATGCCAGCGAGGCACACGAGAGCCATGACGAGGAAGGTGAGGCGGAAGCAGTCCGGCCCCATGCACCGGTGGGGCAGTTGCGATGCCTCCGGCAGTAGCTGTGCCTCCGCTACCCCTGCTTGCCCCACTGGTGCTGCTGCCTCTGTGCCCCAGCTTGCAACGGCGGCGATTGTGGGTGGCGAGAGGGAGGGGGACGCGGAGGAGAGGCCTCGCAGGTGGAGCAAGGCTGACCGTTGGATCGCAGATTGACGGTCGTAGATGTAGCCGGCGAGCTTGACAGAGAGGCAGTAGGAGCCCAGTGTGGATGATATGCTGAGGGGACGAGGAAGAGAAGAGAAGAGACGAAAAAAGGTGGGAAATTGGGAGGGAGGGGAAGAATGGGCTTTGTGACATCTCAAAGCTCGCATCTTTATCCAATTCACCAGAAGATATCGGATTATCTGCTATGACTCCCACTGCAAACTCCCCATTGGCACATCCAAGAGCGGCCCGGCGACAGATTTCAACAAGTCGTCTAGAAAGCTTTGGCAGCCAAACAGCTCCAGTGAATTGATGGCAAAGGAGAGAAGTTAACCAGTGCTTTCATTTTGTGTAATAATGTTCCCAGAGCATAATTCTTTGGTACCCATGACATTAACCAGAGTATAATACTCTGGTACCCATGACATCAACCAGAGTATTATGCTCTTACTCAGGACAAACGTATTTATCTTGGAGTGCGTAATTACCAGAGAGTGCATTCTTACCTAAGATTGTGTATTCACCTGAGAGTGCGAATTCACCTGAGGCTGTATTCTCCTGAGTGTGAATTCACCTGAGGCTGTATTCTCCTGAGTGCGAATTCACCTGAGGCTGTATTCTCCTGAGTGCGAATTCACCTGAGGCTGTATTCTCCTGAGTGCGAATTCACCTGAGGCTGTATTCTCCTGAGAGTGCGAATTCACCTGAGGCTGTATTCTCCTGAGTGCGAATTCACCTGAGGCTGTATTCTCCTGAGTGCGAATTCACCTGAGGCTGTATTCTCCTGAGTGCGAATTCACCTGAGGCTGTATTCACCTGAGTGCGAATTCACCTGAGGCTGTATTCACCTGAGTGCGAATTCACCTGAGGCTGTATTCACCTGAGCGTATTGTAGAGAGCCCCGAAGTGTTTTAACCCGAACAGCTCAGAAGCAGTGGTAACCATCAGCGTCCAGTGCGCCCCATGTGCCGCCCCCACCAGCGCTGCCGCGGGATAGAGGAGAAGTGGGTCTGGCGGGAAGGGGAAAAGCGCACGGCGGCACAGGGGCAATGGTCATGACATTGATGCACTGATGCAGTGGAGTGGGGTAACCTGGTCACCATCAGCGTTGCCCCATGCACTGCCCCCACCAGTGCTGCCGCGGGGTAGAGAAGCAGAGGGTCTGTGGGGAAGGGGAAAAGCGCAGGCTTGGAGGCACAGGGGCAGCAGCATGCACAGGTGCTCTGATGCAGTGGTAACTTGGTAACCAGCATCATCCAGTGTTCCCCGTGTCCCCTGTGTGCTGCCCCAACCATAGCTGCCGTACGGTAGAGGAAGAGAGGGTCTGATGGGGAGGGGAACAGAGCAAGTTTGGAGGTACAGGCGTAACAGTGGTGACAGGCGGTACACCGATGCAGTGGTAACCTGGTAACCACCAGCATGGCCAAGTGCACCCACCCCCAGCAGCGGTGGTGCGGGTACAAAAGGGAGTGGGAGTGCATGTGGAGTGCAGGTAGAGGGGCACGGAAAGAGTCATGCAGGGGAGGAAGAGAGCAAGGCCATCCACATGCCAACAGAGAGGAGCAGCAAGTTGAGAGGGACAGCGGGGACCATACAATGTGAATGTCCTTGTGGTTTCGCATCGCAGCGTTCACAATGCGCATGGCTGAAAAGATGAGGGTACATGGGAGGTGCATGGTGTGGGCATGGTGTGGGCATGGTGTGGGCATGGTGTGGGCATGGTGTGGGCATGAGACAATGGGGTGGGGTGAGGAGAGGCAGTATGGCAGGTTTAGGTGGGCGCATCCCATGGCTGCCTGCAGCAGTAGAGGCCACACAGGTACCAGCACCTTACACCTGCAGCACCACCACTAAAGCTCACAACACAGCATGCCACTCACCTCATTACTGAAGAGTAAGTGTGTACCACTAATGGTGATCTAAGGTGGCCCCTGATGTAGGGCCACCGACTCACCCCCGATGCTGAACAGCAGGTGCGCACACCACATGGCCGCCTGCACGAGCAGCAGTGGTGACAGCAGTACCAACACCTTACCGAATGTCACTTCATAGCAACAGCACGCCACTCACCGCCGATGCTGAACAGCAGGTGCGCGCACCCCATGGCAGCCTGCACGAGCAGCATGCAGAGCGGGCGTGGCGTGCACCAGCGTTTCAAACAGTGCTCCGACACGTAGCTGGGGTAGGAAGGTGAGGGCACGGGATGGGGTGTGGCGGAAGGGTGGGGGGGGGTGTTTAGTCGACTACAATCCACCTGCCTAGCAGCATGCAGAGGTGGCGTGGCGTGCTCCAGCGCTTCAAGCACTGCTCTGACACGTAGCTGGGGGGGGATGGGAGAGAAAGGGGGACGGGGAAAGGGGGAACAGGGAAGGGGAATGGGGGAATGTGGGCGGGGAAGGGGGTGCATGGGTTGGGGGAGAGGGAAGGGCGGAGGGAGAGAGGTGTGTGGGTGAGAAGTGAGAAATGGGAGGAGATGTTGTGGTGTTATGGTTCAACTTTTGAGACGTCTCAGATGTTGTGGTGTTATGGTTCAGGCACTCCTGGTGCATGCGGTGGGTGTTATGGTTCAGGCACTCCTGGTGCATGCGGTGGGTGTTATGGTTCAGGCACTCCTGGTGGATGCGGTGGGTGTTATGGTTCAGGCACTCCTGGTGCATGCGGTGGGTGTTATGGTTCAGGCACTCCTGGTGCATGCGGTGGGTGTTATGGTTCAGGCACTCCTGGTGCATGCGGTGGGTGTTATGGTTCAGGCACTCCTGGTGCATGCGGTGGGTGTTGTGGTTCAGGCACTCCTGGTGCATGCGGTGGGTGTTATGGTTCAGGCACTCCTGGTGCATGCGGTGGGTGTTATGGTTCAGGCACTCCTGGTGCATGCGGTGGGTGTTATGGTTCAGGCACTCCTGGTGCATGCGGTGGGTGTTATGGTTCAGGCACTCCTGGTGCATGCGGTGGGTGTTATGGTTCAGGCACTCCTGGTGCATGCGGTGGGTGTTATGGTTCAGGCACTCCTGGTGCATGCGGTGGGTGTTATGGTTCAGGCACTCCTGGTGCATGCGGTGGGTGTTATGGTTCAGGCACTCCTGGTGCATGCGGTGGGTGTTATGGTTCAGGCACTCCTGGTGCATGCGGTGGGTGGGACGAAGGAGAACAGGCGACCAAAGAATTACAAATTCATGCAGTGAGACGAAAGATAAGGCACATGTGTCACGAGCCACATGACATGGCATGGCAGATGCGGTGCAGTGCACATGGCAAACGAACCTAGTTAACATCTGAACCACCCACCCGGCCGCCATCCTTCCTAGAAAGTTCCAGATGCTGACGAGAGCAACCAGTGCGCCCACACTTGCAGAGCCCAGAGACTCCGCCACCTGATGGGGGCGATGTAGAAGAAGAGGGGGAGGGGCATAACAGTTGGGCGCATGCGGTATTGCTCACGAGAGCAACCAAAGCGCCCAGACGTGCAGATTCCTGAAAGTCTGGGATCGCCTCCTGAATGGATAGAAGAACCAGAATAGTTCAGCTGGGTGTCCCTCGGCGCAATGCAGGGCCAACCATCCAAAAGGAGGCTTGAGCCGTTGAATTGGTACACTTGACTTTGTAGGTGCCTCGAATTCGGGCAGAGTCAATACAGTTTGACTGGGGTTCACAAGCTGGTTGCTGCAGTATTTGCTCGTTGTTCCACCCGCTTCTCCGATTCTTTTGAAGCACCAAATTCCATGCTCCACAAGTGATGGAAACGGCCCCTATTCTGCATCCCTCATCCCCCACCACCTGCAGCCCAAAGCACTTGTGGCAGGCACGTGAGGGATACTGCTGACATCCCTGACCCCACACACACCTCCCCCACACACACCTCCCCCACACACACCTCCCTCACACACACCTCCCCCACCCTCCTCGCACTCATCTTCTCCTGCTTGTAAACACCTCCCTCGCTAGTATTCCCCTCTTGCACTCCTCATCGTTCTTGCACTCCTCATCGCTCTTGCAACCCCTGCCCCTCTACCTCACCTGCAGCAGGTGGCTCACACCCATCTCCCTCTCGCTCCTTGTGTCGAAGTCACTCAGACTATGCCTCCTCACCCGTCCCTACCCCAACTGTCCCAGGTTGTCAAAGTGAGTGAGTCCGGACCTTGTGCGGCAACAACCCATGCCTCCTATTCCTTCCCATCCCCTCTCCCCTTCGCCCGCATCAGGTTGTCAATGCCAGTCCCTCCCTGACAATCTCCCTCTCGCGCTCCCTCCCTTCCCTCATCTCCCAAACTGCGTCCCCACTTAACCCACTCCCTCCCCTTTCACCTGCGCCAGGTTGTTGATTGCTGTCAGCCCTGACCCCGTGCCGCACCCCATGGCGAAGAACAGTAGCCTGGGGGGGCGTGGAGGGGAAGTGCGAGGAGGATTTAGGGGGAAGAGGGAAAGAGGGCTTGGAAGATGGTAGTGAGCCTTGAGTCCCTGACCCCGTGACACAACCTATAGGAAGAACAGTAGCCTGCCTGGGTGGCAGGGGGGGAAGGAAGAGTGGTTCAGAGGGGTGAAACGGTTAAAAACGGGGGGGAGGAAGGAGGGAGGATGGGAGGAAAGACAAGGGCAAGAAATGTTGGGGGGAAGTGGGATCAAGCGCAAAGGGAGTGGTTTGTTGGTTCATCCGCTCATCATACTAGACCCCATGTGTGACGGCAGCTTTGCCAGCAGTTGCGACTGGTAGGTAGGCACCTCAAAACAGACTCACCAGTACTCAGGCGTCACAGCAGCCTGCAGCAAAGTGTGATCCATGCCCACGCGCACAGCACTCACTCGCTGTCCCCTTCCCACCTCCAACACTCCCCCACCACGGCTGCTCCTCCCCTCACCCTCCAGACTCTTCCCCTCCCTCCCGCCCTCCCCACACCCACCCACACCACCACCATTCCCCCCAAGCCCGCCCCCCAAGCCACTGCTTGCTGTACTGCTGCTGCCGCCCTGCCCGAGTGCTGCTGCCACCCCACGCTCCCTCGGACTACTCGCCCTCTCACCCGCCCACCCCGCACTCCTGTTAGAAGCGGGAGTGCTTGTAACGAATCTATCAAAACCCACCCTCTCGCTTGCGCGCCCCGCACCGCTGTGGGAGGCGGGTGTGCTTGTAAAGGAGGTGGCTTTAAGGGGGCTCCCTTCTGTGTCACTAAACGACTCACAGCTGGCCTTTCTGCTTATAGGCCCAATACTGCCACCACCACCACTCCCCCCGCCACCACCACCACTGCTGCTGTCGCCGACGCTGCTGCCGCCGCTGCTAGTGTTGCCGATCCTGCCACCGTTGCTGCTGCTGTCAGTGCGAGCGAGCAGAGGGTATGTCTCGCCGCCAGTGGTGTCGCCACCATCACCATTTGAGGAGTGGTCCGTGTGTGTAGAAGAGGGCTTGGAGGTAAAGGAGGTGGTGGAAGCAAGGTGGGTGTGGTACTCGTGAGGTGAATGGAAAGGCAGCTTGGAACCGATGGGGCTGCCTGCTTTGACCCACTGGCGGGAATAGGAGGCAGAGAGAGGAGGACGAGAGAGCGGGTGGGAGAGGGGAAGGGTGAGAAATTCTGAGTGGACCCAAAAGGCACCCCGTGGTATTGGTGGGGCGCGTGGAGCAGCAGCTTAGCGCGCATGGGGTGGGGCTGCCTGCTTTGACCCACTGGTGGAGATGGAAGGCAGTGCGAGGAGGATGAGAGGAGAGTGGGAGGGGGGACGAGAGGGTGGAGGTGGTGTGCGGCTTTAAAGAGGAGAGCATGGAAGGGGGGGAAAGAGCAGCAGGCGAGATTACAAGGACCAGAATGTAGATTATGGTGGGGGGTTTGGCGATGGACCTGGAGGGAGGGGGGATGTGACGACTGAACATAAAAAGGAAACAGGGATGGAGGAAGATCGAAAGCATCCCAAGGAAGAGTGGAAAAGGGCAGCAGGGTTGGAGACGGGGAGAGAGAGCAGCGGCATACCGGGAGGTAGATGGGGAGGACGAGCAGCAGCAGCATCCCAGCCATGGAAACCAGGCGATAGGGGCGAGAGAGGGACAGGGCCTCCTGGGGAATACGTGGGTGGATGGTGGACGGTTGACACATGGGCATGGTTGACACATGGGCATGGTTGACACATGGGCATGGTTGACACATAGAGTGAGGCATGGTTGACACATAGACTGAGGCATGGTATCAGAAACATTAGAAGAAACAGGGCACTAATATGGAAACTGGGTGTCCGAACGGAAGCTGGTACGAGCACGATGCAGAGCGTGAGGGAGAGCGTGAAGGAGAGAATAAGGTGGAGCATAAGGCAGGGATTTCGGCCGTACGACATACCTGCAGCGCCATGGCGAGCATGAGATAGAGCGCAAGCCCCACTCCCACCACCTGCGGGGCCAAGGGATCCATGCCATGCCATGCCATGCCATGCCATGCCATGCCATGCCATGCCATCCATGCCATGCCACGCCATGCCATGCCATGCCATGCCATGCCATGCCACGCCATGCCATGCCATGCCACACCGTGCCATGCACACATGAGAGAGAAAGAGGTTCGGAGGCTATGAGCGAGGACGCTCTGTTGGGTGGAAACGACAGCATAAGGAAGGGCGAGCAGAAGGGTGCGAGTAGTGAAGGGATATTCTAGGAAGGGGGGCGATGTGTGAGGAGGGGGAGCGATGTGCAAGGAGGGGCGGGGAGCAACACACATAAAAGAAGCGGAAGCATATTGCTGGTGGTGTGCCTATACTTGCAACAGGCAGGTAGGAGACGAGGGTGAGGGTGCATGGGGCAAGTGTCTGTCAGGCATGGGCAATTGGAGCACGCAGAGCGGTAGAGAGGCACGGAGGGACATGTGGGCAACGCACGCACAGAGGGACGTGAGATACACACATACAGGAAGCGAAAGTGGCTGCTGTCACCAGTGTCTCTCCTTACAGCGGCCAGCAGGTGCGGGTCAATGGGGCGAACGACGGCCATGGCCGATTGGTGAAGCATCGAGAGTGACAGCAAGGCAAAGAGGAACGGGGGCTACGCACATAGAGGAAGAGGAACGGGGGCTACGCACATAGAGGAAGAGGAACGGGGGCTACGCACATAGAGGAAGAGGAACGGGGGCTACGCACATAGAGGAAGAGGAACGGGGGCTACGCACATAGAGGAAGAGGAACGGGGGCTACGCACATAGAGGAAGAGGAACGGGGGCTACGCACATAGAGGAAGAGGAACCAACTGCTGTCGCCGGTGGCTCTCCTTGCAGCAGCGAGCAGGCGCGGGTCCATGGGGCGGATGACTGTCATTGCCGATTGGTGAAGTAACCAACAAGATTGGCAGCAGTGCACAGAGGAAGGCAGGCTTCGCAACACGCACATAGAGGAAGCGAGTATTGTCCCCAGTGTCTCTCTCAGCAGCAGCGAGCAAGCGCGGACCCATGGGGCGGATGACTGCCATTGCCAGCACAGTGAGCAGTGGGGCGATCAGTGCAGACAGATGCAGGAGGGCTACGCACATAGAGCGGAAGCGGGTGGGGTGTTGTCACCGGCGTCTCTCCTTGCAGCAGCGGCCAGCAGGAGAGGGTTTGTCATGGGAAAACGACAGGCATGGGCAAGTGGAGAAGCGGCAGCAAGAGAGAGAGAGAGAGAGAGAGAGAGAGAGAGAGAGAGAGAGAGAGAGAGAGAGAGAGAGAGAGAGAGAGAGAGAGAGAGAGAGAGAGAGAGAGAGAGAGAGAGAGAGAGAGAGCCTCTCCCCTCAGCCCTTAGCCTCTGCCCTTAGCCTCTAGGCCCTACTTAAGGCCTCCCTAAGGCCGTTTTCTCATTGTTAGTTTGGCGGCTAAGATTTTTTCGCTCGCGCCGGCCGCCTTCGGCGGCCGACGCTCGACGGCGCGGCCTTCGGCCGCGCGTGAGGGGACGACAAGTAATCACAACAAGGCAGTTTATCGCAACAACCGTTACACACATGGCAGCACCTACCGCGGCGTAGCCGCGTGATTCACCTATGGAGCAACCGGAGCCCGCGCCTACATGCGGTGAGCTCCAAGGGCGTGAAGAACGCCCGTCAGGGAGCGCCACAGCTCCCGGACCACAAGCGTGCTTGCGCCGATCGCCGCGGCTCCAGATCCTGCGCGCAAATGCCGCTTCAAGCTCCGGACAGCCTCGTCCAGCTGTCCCGCAGCAGCAGCGCCACCCTCCGCGGGCGCAGCCAACACGGGCGCCAGCAGCACCGCGAGCTGGTCTGCCGCATCCAAGCAGGTCTCGGAGCCGTCCCGACAGTGGTGGCGGACGCCGCCTTCGGGGAAGAAGCAGACGCCGGCGCAGGCACGTCGGGGACGGAAGCAGACGGCACAGCGAGTACGCCAGGGGCAGGAGCAGGGAGGTCGGCAGCACCTCCAGCAGGTGCAGTCGCCGTCGGCGCAACAGCAGGAGCAAGGGGGACGGGAGCAGCAAGGGGAACAGGCGGAGCTTCAACTGGAGCAGACGGGCCATCCTCGCCCCCAACGAGAGGAGCCACGGGTGCGGGGGGAAGAGTCCTTTCAGCGACTGATATCGCGGGCTTCGGAGCCGGCGGTACAGGGGGCTTCGACGCCGTGGTCGCCTTTTCGGGCTGGGGCGGAGGCTTGGCGACAACTGCCGACCAGGCGGCAGCGCGCTTTGGCGACGGCTCAGGCGCTCCAGCAATCACCATCGGAAGAACGGGGAAGCCGTGGAGGTAGGAGGCTGGTCACTAGCGGGACAGGCGGGGGTCCGGAGAACGGGTACCAGGCGGCAGCGCGAAGGGCTTTAACGAGCTTGGAGGATACTAATGAGGAGGAGGATCCCACGGACCCACTTTATAGGGAGGAATCTCTCCCACCGAGCGAAGCTGAGGAGTCGGAGGGGGAAGTCAGGGCGAGAGAATCTGGAAGGAGAAGTGATAGCGATGTGGGCCAAGCAACAGCGCAGGTCACACAGGCGGAACAGGGACCGTCAGATGCAGATCGTGCGGGTGACATTCCAACCCCAGTTCAGCCAACATCGGCGAACCGCGCTCGGCGAAATCGGGCCGCTGCTGCCATCACAGCGACGCGACAGACCATCCATAACCCACGCTATTTCTCGCCAGACGAGCTGGCGAGGCGTGAGGACTTGTTCGCGGCGATCGCGAGCTGGGACATTGCTGTACTCTGCGACAGTCGACAGCCTTCGCTGTCACGGCGTTTACCGCCAAATCTGTGCCAACTGTTTTCGCAGGCACTTCTGACACCGTTACTACACCTCTCACGAAACCCCGAATCCGAGCCGGGGTGGCGCCTGCTGCTGTTTCTCCCGCGCCTAACACTTCGCCAAACCTCGCCACAGCGACCAGATTGGCCGGGGGTCAAGGCTCGGCTTCGAGCTTTCCAGCGTGGCGAATGGGAGCGGCTGTACCTGGATGCGGTTGACGCAGTCAACACGCCTCCACCGCCACGCCACCGCCCTGATGCGACCGGAACCATTAGCCGAGCCGAGGGGCTCGCGAAACGCGGCAGTCTGCGTCGAGCCGTGCTGGCACTGGAGTCAACGCCAGTCTGCACCCCCAGCCCGGAAATTTTGGAGGAGCTCCGTCAGAAGCACCCACCTGCAGTACACGAGGTGGTGACCTGGCCCTCGCCACGAGAGTCAAAATTGTCCATCTCTCATGCAGAGTTCGCCAAAATCCAGGGGCGATGCGAGAACGGAGTGGGAGCCGGACCGTCGGGCACAACATTCGAGCACATGCGCGACGCGGCCACCACTAACGCAATGATCAGCACCCACCTGCACGCCTTGGTCAACACCCTGCTGGGGGGAAATTTGCCAGGCCCCGTGGCAAGCCTCCTGACCGCGTCAAGGTTGATTGCCCTGGCCAAACCAGGGGGGGGGGCTCGGCCAATCGCAATAGGCGAATGTCTGACGAGGTTGACGGCCAAGGCAGCCCTGACAGCCATGGGGGAAGCTGCCCGAGAATATTTCCTGCCACTACAGTACGGCGTGGCAGTGCCAGGTGGAGCAGAGACGGTTATCCACACGGCCAGGGCATTCCTAGACGCCCGCCCCGACAGCCTGGTCCTGCAAGCAGATATCTCGAACGCGTTCAATAGCATCTCGCGCCAAGCCATCGCCACAGCGTTACACGTCCCCAGACTGTCGCCACTGCAGCCGTTTGTGCAACTGACCTACGGTAACCCGTCGCGCTTGCTCCTGGACGCGAAATTCAACTGCGATACCCTGCTTAGTGAACGGGGCGTGCGGCAGGGTGACCCACTTGGCCCGTTACTGTTTGCAGCAGGCATCCACCCCACGCTCCGAGACACTGCAGAGGCACACCCCGACGTGCTCTGCTTGGCGTATGCGGACGATGTCACCTTCCTGGGTGACACCGAACGCACTGTAGCCGCCTTCAAACACTTCACATCGAAACTGGCGCAGCTGGGCCTGGCATACAATCCACAGAAATGTGGGGCTTGGCGTTCAACAGCGGTTGCGCAGAATCAGCTGCCGCCCGGGGTGCCGTTCGCTAAGGACGGAGTGCGTCTTCTAGGTAGTTACGTTGGGACGGAGGCTGGTGGCGCGGGGTTTTTATCGGGCCAGCTGGGAGAAATGGCGAGGCCGCTGCCGCTGTTAGAACGAGCAGACCCCCAGGTAGCCGCGCTGCTGCTCACGCGATGTATCTCTAGCGTACCTGATTAGGACGACTCCCCTCCACCTGCTCCCCCGCGCCACGTGGAGCCAGTGGGGCAGGGACCTACTCATTACCTTACTCACCTCGTGTGACATCCGCGCGCCAACATGCAGTGCCGAGCAAAAACGGGTCTGGGAGCAGGCGTCATTGCCGACGTCCCTGGGCGGCATAGGCATTACGGACCCGCTCATCGAAGGCATATACGGTTTCACCGCGAGTTTTACCCAGGCGGCGCTTTTCCTCTCCTCTCTGGCGCTAGAACCAGAAAGTGCCTTGACGATGGCCAGGAACCACATGCTGGCCCCTAGGGATGACAGCACCCCCCTACACTCGTGGCTCACGGAGTGCGAAGCAGCACTGCCTCTAGACGCGCGTGAGATCCTTGAGAAGGAACGGCTGGAGCGTTCTGATGTTAGGCTACAGCACGTGCTCGGCTTGAAAGTCCACGGGAGCAGATACGCTCTACAAGTCCAGGCAACTCGGGAGATGCAGCTGAACCCTCTCTCTGGCCACACGCAGCGTATGTTCTCACTGACAGGGTCACCACTGGGGACTGGCTGACTGCGATCCCAATCGAGGCCACCAGACGGATAGGCCCCGTGCATTTCACAAACGCCGTACGGTTTCGGCTGGGTCTCCCCTTTTCAACGCCCAGGAACTGTGACTGCGCAGATCAGGTAGCCATCACAGATCCCCGCCTCCCGAACCATCTCCTCCGCTGCGGCACCGGCAAACATCGCATTAACACACACAACGAGCTGCGCGACGCGTGCATTAGCATGGCGCAGCACGCCGGTTTCATAGTTCACAGCGAGTCCGCCGTTCACTGCCCCATCGAGGAACAAACGGCGGACTTCACCATGACCGACAGAAGCAGCGGGGCGGTTTATGTGTGTGACGTGACGATCACGGACCCTATTAGCACGAGCGACCCCAAGGCAGAGAAGGGCAGGGGTTGGGCGGCTCGGGAACAGGCGGATAAGAAAATAAAGCACTATGCCAACCGGCCAGAGACGGTGGGATTCTTCCCACTTGCGGTGGACACCTATGGCTGCCCGTGCGCGGGAGTCCCGATTTTTCTGAAGCTCCTCGCAGATACAGCGGCTCGGCGGCACTTCAACGCCGACTCTAAATCCTTTTATGCCGCCAAGTTTCTGCACTTATTCCGGCAGCGTAGGTCCGTGGCCCTCCAGAGGGCCCAATCGGTGGGTCTCCTCCTCAAGCTAGGCGAGGCGGCGGCGGCAGAGAACCCGCCTGTAGGAGGAATTGGGCATGAACTTCACCCAGGGGATTGCTTTGCGGTGGTTGAGCCGTACCTTGAGCTCTAGAGACAGTAGTTGGTAGGATGTGCTGTGTTGCAAGCTCCGTCCGGTTATTCTATGAACCTGCATGCATGTACCTTGACCCTCTATCAATACAAGGACCATTAGAGAGAGAGAGAGAGAGAGAGAGAGAGAGAGAGAGAGAGAGAGAGAGAGAGAGAGAGAGAGAGAGAGAGAGAGAGAGAGAGAGAGAGAGAGAGCACGAGACACACGTAGAGGAAGTGAAACGGACTGCTGTCCCCGGTGTCTCTTCTCGCAGCGGTGAGGAGGTGAGGGTCCATGGGGGCAGCAGCGGATAGGGGGGGTAGCAACGTACCAGAGGGGGCAGCAGTGAATTGGAGGGGTAGCAGCGCATAGGGGATTCCAGGGGTACATACATAGAGGAAGCGAAACCGAGAGTTGTAGCTGGTGTCTCTTCTCGCAGCAGCGAGCATGCGAGGGTCCATGGGGCGGCTGACTGCCATTGGCGATTGGTGAAGTATATGAGAGTGGAAGCACGGCACAGGGGAACGTGGGACACATACATAGAGGAAGCGGAAGCGGGTGTTGTCGCCGGTGTCTCTTCTCGCAGCAGCGAGCATGCGTGGGTCCATGGGGCGGCTGACTGCCATTGGCGATTGGTGAAGTATATGAGAGTGGAAGCACGGCACAGGGGAACGTGGGACACATACATAGAGGAAGCGGAAGCGGGTGTTGTCGCCGGTGTCTCTTCTCGCAGCAGCGAGCATGCGTGGGTCCATGGGGCGGCTGACTGCCATTGGCGATTGGTGAAGTATATGAGAGTGGAAGCACGGCACAGGGGAACGTGGGACACATACATAGAGGAAGCGGAAGCGGGTGTTGTCGCCGGTGTCTCTTCTCGCAGCAGCGAGCATGCGTGGGTCCATGGGGCGGCTGACTGCCATTGGCGATTGGTGAAGTATATGAGAGTGGAAGCACGGCACAGGGGAACGTGGGACACATACATAGAGGAAGCGGAAGCGGGTGTTGTCGCCGGTGTCTCTTCTCGCAGCAGCGAGCATGCGTGGGTCCATGGGGCGAATGACTGCCATTGCCAGCAACGCCACTAAAGGGGGCAGCAGCGCGCAGAGCAGCAGGAAGGGCGCCGTGTGGGGCGCGTAGAGAGCAGAGTAGAGCTGCGGGCGATGGGAATGGACATTTGAAGGACAAGGAGGGGGGATTTGGAGAGATAAATTAGGAGGCGGTGGGTGGGGTCCACAGCATGCACACGTGGGTCCATGGGATGAATGGCGGGCTGCTGTGGAGAGCAAGGCCACCAGTGAGGGCAGCAGTGCGCAGAGCAGCAGGAAGAGCCCTGTGTGGGGCGTAGAGAGGGCGGAGAGCCTTCACCTACCCCACCACCCACCCACCCTGTCGCCCCCTCACGGCAGGTACTGCCTTCCTTTTTCAACACAGCTATTGCCGGCACTCTCATACTCACACTCATTCCCAAGCGACCCAGCCCCACGGCCATTGCCATCCGTCAATCCGACAGACCTCTGTAAAGATGGCCCCGCTGAGCCCTATTAAGCCCTTGAGCAGCCCCAGCCCCACCACCCTCACATCACACTCATCATTGTCACTCGCAGCCCCTTCCCAGCCTCACGGACCTGATTTTTTAGGCGCCCCAAGAACCAGCCTCACTAACCTGCGTGAAGATGGCGCCGCTGAGCCCTATGAAGCCCTTCAGCAGCCCCACCACCACCCCCCTGTCGCCCTCAAAGTTGCGAATGCTGTGCGGGAAGGGGGAGGTGGGAGAGGACAGGGGAAGTTGGGGGATCAGCGCGGGAGAGCTGAAAACTTGGTGTTGGGGGGAAAGGAGAGAGGCGGGATGGGGTGCGGCGGAGAATGGGTGGGATGGGGAAAAGAAGGCGTGGGGTGGATGGGAGAAAAGGAGCGGTGGAGTGTGGTGGAGAGAAGGATATGCCGCATGCGGTGGGGGGAAGAAGGGATGGGGTGATTGGGAGGCGGATCGAGGTGGCAATACGTGTGAATGAAAGAGGTGGGGATGGAATGAGTATGAGAGGGGTGCAGAAAGAGCAGGAGATACAACACAAGGGCACAAGGCGAGCATGTGATGCGCGGTCATGGTAACTGTAAGCAGGTGCCATGCAGTGCAGTGCAGTGCAGTGCAGTGCAGTGCAGTGCAGTGCAGTGCATCAGGGTCACAGGGGATGTCAGTTGGAGCACAGGTGGCGTGTGTCAAGTGTGGGCAGGGGACTCACCAGGTGACGAGCACGGCTGTGTTGAACCACGTGGCTCCGTTGGTACCCAGCATGATGAACGCACACATCTGCCACGTGGCATGGCATGGCATGGCATGTATGAGACCATGCGACCATGCGGCCCAACACATGACGAGTGGCACGCCGCCAAACACACACACACACACACACACACACACACACACACACACACACACACACACACACACAGACCGGATGGAGACGCACATGAGGATTGGGTTGCACACATTGGGTGGGACGAAACCTGCTGCAGAACCAGACATGTCAAGGCACGTGAGTGGGCGCCTCGAGGATTGGATCCAGAGCAGGGCAAAAGCAAGCAAAATAACCTGAAACGGGCATACCCGATAAGAACACTTGAAAAATCACCTGAGACGCGAGCGATTCACCTGGTGGAGGAAAGCAGCATGGCTAACCTGAATTGGATTTTTCTGCATGCCTCCCCTACCTATGCTTCCACTTCCATCTCCCGCGGAAAGAACCGAGGGGGGAACGCACCTGCCAGAACGGCGGGCGGGTGATCCCCATGGACGCCATGTACAGCTGGCACGCAGTGATTGGTGGGGAGAGGGGGTGGGGGAGATGGGGACGGGGTGGGGGAGGGGGAAGGAGATGGGGTTAAAAGGACAGGGGGGAGGAGGCGGAACTGGAAGGCGGTGAGGAGGTGTGGCCCGGACAGGTGTGGAGAGGAGGAAGGGGAGTGAAAGGGGGGGGGAGGGGGAGGTGGAGCGGGATCTAAAGGGGGAGGGGAATGGGAGGGGGAAAGGGGTGCGGGCATGCAGCAGAAAGCGAGTGAAGGGATGAGAGGAGAGGCTGATGGAATTACTCGGCTGATGAATGCCGATGCACTCAGGTGCAATGTTCAGTGCGCGCCTATAACGAGGATAAGTGTACCATGGAGTACCCGAACAGATGCATGGCGGCGCCTATAGCGAGGATGGCCCACGCGGGCATGAGGTCGATCAGTAAACCCGATACAATCCCCACGTTCCCGCCAATGTCCTTTGCGGTCCCTAAGCCGTCCACTGCTTCCTGCGAGTACTGTAGCTTGTCTTTTAATGCGGCGGAGTATAACGAGAACGCGTACGAGATGCCCCCGCACGCCTGCAGCCACATGCCCAGGATGAGCCCCAGCCACCGGTCCCGCCACATGCGCTGCACGCGATTCCACACCGTCGCCATTGGCTCGCGCTAGGTCTAGTACCGACGCGAATTACGACGGCGCGGGACCCGCGAAGAGGAGCAGCGGTATCACGGGTGCTAGTCTGCTAACATGGTCCAAATCTCAGCAGCCTGATTGGACTTTAAAACGCGGCGCGCGTTGGGCGGCAATGTGATCCTAATTCGCGGCGCGTCGAATGCAAACAAGGTGAGGCTGACGTGAAAGGAGACTACACTAGGGAATGACTGCAGGCGAGGCACGGTAAGTATACGCGAGGAATTCGGAAGCCGATGTTGAGCAAACGGGCTGTTGCCTGCGAAGCTGCCCGCTTCATCTTCTCAATCAGTGAACGCATCCACAACAACAGCTGGGATGGATGGTTTGATCCATCCTCTTTGTAATCTGAACCACTAACAATTCCAATACAAAACGCTTTTTGAATTAAATGGCTCTTGGTGAACTGCACGGTCTCTCAGGTTGAGGTTGTTACAGCTGGCTTCACCCTGAACGGGGCTCGTCATTGGTCATCTGTGTTGGAAACAAGTGATTTAACGCTTCTTGTGTGTCGCAACATCGAACTGTAAACGATGCGAACTACAGCGCAGCAACAGCGAGTCAACAGAGGAGGTTGATAGAAAAGTACCGTGATCTCCCGGTTAGAAGACCCAGGGGTCTTGTCCTAAATGTGCTTGAAATGGGTTGTGGGTTCTTATTTAATGGCATATAGTTTATAAGACCCCTGGACATCTAATAATGACAGAAATTAGAAATGTAAGGAAGAGTGTTGATTGAATTCAATTTTTGTTCCCAGCATATTCGAGTTTGCCTGTAAGCGAGGAACCATATCGCCACTTTCGCGCACCTCGCCCCAGGCCACACGTCACACATTGAAGCATGACGGCGGCAGTACCTGACGGTGCTGGCGCAGAGCCCCTGCTCTTGATTGGTGTGTTGACCACACCACCATCACTCCATCAGATACATTGCATCTGATGGGGTGTTGGGTTCGTGAACGTTACACCGTGCACAGCTGGGTTGCATGCGCCACGGGGAACGTGAACTCACACCAGCGCATGTCCCTGTCCTCGCCGGCTTCAGAGGGGGGTAGTCTGAGTCGATGAAGCTCATTTTCATTTTTTTTTTCCTGAGTTGAAAGCCTCCCCTCGATCTTCTTGGCCACCATGTTCTCACCCGCTAGTTTAGCAACCTCTCCCCTACAGGCGCCGTCATGTCGGCGATGGACATGCTGATGAAGATGCGGGCTGTCAGTGCAGCCCGCGGCCTTGCAGCCATGGCGAACTCACCCCCAGCTCCACCAGCCCCGCCGGCACCGCCGGCCCCGCCGGCTCCTCCTGCTCCTCCCGCGCCTCCCGCACCTTCCGCTCTTCCGTGTCCTTGGCCCCCATTCCCACACCCCTTCGAACCGGGCTTAGGCGAAGAGGAGTTCCTTGGGCAGTCAGTGCCTAACCCGTCTTCGTCCGAAGATCCAGAGAGTGGTGGTGCCGCATCAGCCGATGAAAGTGTTCCCTATCCTCTCCCTCGCTTCCCCACTGATGTGCTGCGCGATGTCGACCCTGCCGCGGTCACCCGTGATGCTGCAACCCCCGATTCCCGCAACAGGGTTAACAAGCACAAGCGCCACACTCGCACAATGGCGGAGAAGACCTCCTGGCTCACGCGGATGCGCGATGAGCACCTCACGGTGCGCGAAACTGCACGGATGGCCGGCGTGCAACCTGTCAGCATCCGGCGCTGGAAGAAGGTGGCTGACGCGATGGCATCAGCGGCTGGCAGCCGTCTGCGGCTTTCAGGTGGCGGACGGCGTGCTCGCTACCCCGACATGGAGCTATCTGTTTACAGGCAATTCCTCTCCCACAGGTTGCGGGGACTGGCGGTCCCGATTAAGCTGCTGCAGACGTGGAGCCGGATTGCGATGAAGAACCGGCACCCTGAGGTCAACTGGCGCGCCTCTCCGCGATGGATCTTCAGGTTTCGCAAGCGGTGGGGACTGACCGTGAGGGTGAAGACCAAGATCGGTCAGCGGCTGACGAAAGGTGTGTTCATTGTGTAATATCTTTGTGTGCCGTGGTTTGTTAGTACCGGTTTTAACACCTCCTTGTTTTTTTCCTGCAAATTGCAAGTCAAAGTGTGAGAGCTTCTGGAAGTTCCGCAGGAGGCAAATCGTCCGCCACGGCATCGACGACTGGAACATTGTGAACGCCGACCAGACGCTGGTGTTCCTTGAGATGCCGCATGAGAGGACATTGGCGCACCGTGGCGAGCGCGCAGTTCAAGTTCGCAGCGCCGGCTATGAAAAGGCGCAGGTGACCGTAATGCTGGCGGTTACGGGCACGGGGGTGAAGCTCCCGCCGATGGTGATCCTCAAGTGGAAAACCATCCCCAACATCCCCATCCCACCAAGTGAGTGTCTTCCCATTTCCTACTGGTAGTGTTGTGATTCTTAAAACCTCCACTCACATTCACTAGTTTCTCTGTGCAGGCATGCTCATTCGGGCACAAGAACGAGGCTGGATGGATTCCAGCCTCGTCATGGATTGGGTGCAGAACGTGCTGCTGCCTCACACTCGCCCCCGCCCAGGCATCAACCGCAGCAGGACGCTGCTCGTTTTGGACTCGTACCGTGGGCATCTCACGGACACGGTACGGGGGGCGCTTCTTTGGCATCGCATCACGCCAGCCATCATTCCTTGTGGCTGCACGCCTCTCCTGCAGCCATTGGACGTGAGCATCAATCGCTCGTTCAAGGCTAGCGTCCGGCAGATGTACAACGACTGGTTTGTCGAGGTCGGCATCAACACCCTGACCCCTGCTGGTAAGAAACTTCTTTATTGTGCCTTTCCCGTTTCCCATTTCCACCCCTACAAAATTCTGACTGTCAGAATATTATGCTCTAGCCTGCAGTGGGGTGCTCTATAGCGAGTACAACCCTTCTAGGGTTTGCTATTTGTATCCCATCCTTGCTAGTGCAAACCCCTTCCTTTGATTCATTCTCTCTTGCCTAGCTAGGTCATCCCTAGCTATGGCCTCTTACTATACCTACTATTTCGACATGGTATTAGAGCGGTTACGCTCTTGGCCTGTGGGCCCCACTACTGCTTCCGCTGCCCTACTCTGTGCCGCGCGCCCCGTGGCGCGCGGCCTTCAATTTTTTCATCCCGCCGCGCGCTCGGGGCGCGCGGCGGTTCCCTGCCCGCCGTGCGCGCCGAGGCGCGCGGCGGTTTCCAGCCGTGGGGGAGCCCGCGCGCACCCCGCCCGTCCGTCGCGGCGCCCTGGGGAGCACTCGCGGCCCCCACCCTGCACGTCGCGTCGCCCCCGTCGACCCTCGCGTCGCCTCCGGGGACCCGCGCGCACCCCCCCCACCGTCGACTCGCCTCCCGTCGCCCGTCGTGGCCTGCGCGCGGCCCGTACAGTTGGCGCGCGGCCCGTACGGGCTGCGCCAGGCCCGCGCGCGGCTCGGGCCGCCTGCGCGCGGTTCGGGCGGCTGTGCCAGGCCCGTGGGCGGCCCGTTCCTCGCTGCCCCTGCCCTCCCCACTGTCCCCCGTGCTTCTACTGGCGCCCCACCCCTCCTACAGCCCGTTCTCCTAAATTAGGGTTTGGGGGTGAGGGGTATGGGGGTGAAGACACTGCGTGCCGTTCCCTGCTCCTCCTCCTCCTCCCTAGTCTCCCTCTGCTACAGCTGCCGCTGAGGGGGGTGGTGTGTGGGAGCCTAGGGTTTGGGGTTTAAGGGGGGTGCCGTGGGAATGGAGCTAGGGTTTCAGCAGTGGGTGTGTGGGGGGTGTGTGGGGCAGTTGGAGGAGGTTGAGCGGAGGTTGCCGTCGTGTCGTTCGCAGCACCTGTATTCCGGGGTTCCGCGGACCTCCGGTAGCTCAGAGAGCCGGCTGCACCTGTCGCCCGTGGGTCCGCTGCACCCTCTGCAGCGGATATTACCCCTGTATTCCGGGGCTCTGCGTCCGGTAGCCACTAGAGTTGCACCAGTGCCGTCTGTTGCCCGTGTGTCTGCAGCTTCAGTCGTCGTCTCCACTCTTCTCTCCTCTCGCCAGCCCTCCTCCTCCTCGCTTGCCCTCTGTGACAGCTTTAGCTTTACCCATTATTGTGAACTTTAAACTATTGCCTTTTGAACTTGTGCTCAGAATGTGTGGTGACATTGTGATCCACCCTGAGCTTGTACTGCTTTGCTTGCTCATTGTGCTGATTACACCCCACTTTGGCTATGGGGGTGTGTCAGAATATTATGCTCTAGCCTGCAGTGGGGTGCTCTATAGCGAGTACAACCCTTCTAGGGTTTGCTATTTGTATCCCATCCTTGCTAGTGCAAACCCCTTCCTTTGCTTCATTCTCTCTTGCCTAGCTAGGTCATCCCTAGCTATGGCCTCTTACTATACCTACTATTTCGACACTGACGCCCGCCACTCTTTCCACCACTTCAGGCAACCTCAGGAAGCCGCCCGCAGAGCTGGTGCTGCTGTGGATCGCCACGGCCTGGGCTGCCGTCCCTGAGGACCTCATCGTCCGCTCGTTCAAGACATGCGGCATCATCAAGAACCCGGACGGGCGCGAGGATCACTTCATCCTTGCACACATGCGCGATGCAGCACAAGTGGAGGTGCACGACGACGTGCACGCAGCGGGTGACGTCGAGGAATGTGTGAACCCCATGTACACCACTGGCGAGGAGGAGGAGGAGGAGTACGCTGCGATGGAGGAGGAGGAGGAGGAAGCCCTGGAGGAGGAGGGCGAAGAGGAGTAGATAGGTAGCTGCAGCTGAACGGTGTTTAGTACTGGTAGAGTGTCTGGAGGCCTAGAGTGTCTACTGTAGTTTAGTTTGTTGTAGATGTTACATATTATCTAACATGTTTTAATGAATTAAAGTTGGTTCTTCTTAGAAATCTGGATAAAAAAATGCATGTAACGCAAAACAGGAGAAAGAGGGGGGTCTTATAGTATTTTGTATCAAAAGACGGGTCCTCTACAGGAATGACATAATAAAAGACCCCTGGTCCGGATAAAGGACCCAGGGGCTTGTACGCGGGGGGGGGGTCTTCTTGCCGGGAGATTACGGCAACACCCGGAGGTTACGCAAAGGTCAAAGGTCAGCGACCTTTGACTCAACAAAAACAGCGCGGCAGCAAGGACAAACAACTGACTCGATATTGAGCAGTTGCTCGAGTTATGACTATATCGAGCCGCAATAGCAGCAGTTACAATAGCAGTTGCAAACAAGGTTAGTTGAAACCTTTTGTATTCCCTTGCAGTCATATAAAAGCTTGGATCTCTTTGCTATAATTAATATATCTTGCCCTCACATACCAGCGCAAGGTGGTTCAACACTTATCATTAAACGCTTCCGCAATTACAACCCCTCTACTTGGAGCAGGCTCTCAGATTGGTTTGAGGGTATGCTGATGGATCAGCGTGCCCTTGCCAACCAGGTGTCCAAATCAGCGTTCAGCTTTTTGTTTATACTGATTTTGTCAGTGTAAAAGTTCATACTAAACTGAAATAGCAGTGTAAAAAAGCCATCAGATCAGAGCTGATGCATGCAACAGTGCACTAGGTTAGAGATGTTTTGTTGTGATGGCTTCCAGCGAGGCAAAACGATTCGGCGCGCACAAGCTGTAAGTACACCGCATGTGAGAAAATTCCAAGTGTGTGGGCGGAGTGGAGTTTCGTGAATCACGGGAAGGTACAGTCTGTACACGCGTCGCGTATCCCTCCTCCCCCCCCCCCCCCCCTCCCCCCCACCCCCACTCGATCAAGTCCGTTTCAGTGTGACTCAGTGAAGTATACTGATTCGTCAGTGTTACTTGTAAAGCAACACGCGAAATGGTCAGTGTGGCAAAATAGGCTATACTGAAATTTCAGTTCAAAATTGAAGCATATGCTGAATTTTCAGGGAAAACGAAAATCAAAGCTACAAAATCAGCGTAATCAGCGTGTTTTACGCGGATATCTGAGGGCCTGCCTTTATCCTTGAAAGATCCTAAGGGCTTTTCTCAGCCCAACATGGTATGAGAGCAGACAGGGCAAAACTTCATTCCGTTTAAACTCCTACAACATCAGAAAATATGGCAACACAGAAGGAGAGAGGCTCCTCTAACGGCTCTCCCGAGACCACCCCTACTCCACCTCCAGCCTCTGGCCTACAGACAGAGGGAGGCACGGCAACAAGACCAGCTGCTGAGTCTACTCAAACTTCTGCGAACCAGACGTCAGGCTTCGACCCAAGCATGATGGAGAAGTTTTTTTGCCTTCATGTCATTCTACGAGCAGCACCAGTAAGCAGCACCTGCGCAGTCAATCAACAACAACAACGATGTCACACCAATGAGTCTTGATGGCTCATCCTGTGCGCGCGGAAACCAGCAGCAACCTACCTTCGCTCCGTATGAGCCTCAACGTGGCTCCATCAGCTTTGTGCCGCACCAACAGCCTCCACCTGGACAAGAAAAGACACTGGACGCTCTTCAGGTCTAGTCGCAGTTCGCACACGTCCTGAAACTGCTGACATCTACACCCTTCGACGGGAAGGATTTTTATACTTGGTCCTTCGAGTTTGATGGTTCGATGGTTCCCTGCCATACCCAGCGCACGGAACACTATACGACAAGCAGCAATATACATATCAGACGCTGATGGCGTACACGATCCTACTACGAAACATAACGCCGAATGAGCAGAAGAACATCCGGTCTTATCGGGGTTACGACAACTCCGCCGAGCTCGCATACAGCCACCTGAAGAACCTGTATCAAGCAATAGACAGCGTCAACCAGAGTCAGTTAATGGCGCAGCTGACAACAGTGGAAATGAAACCCGGTGAAAAAGGAATGGCATATATCAGTCGTTGTTGCGGACTGCGTGACAGACTCCTTCGGTGCGGAGGAGCGATATCAGAAGAAGCCTTCGTTACAGTCATCATCGCTGGACTTGGTCCTCATTGGCGCTCCACCCGAGCTCTTCTCCGAGCCCACAGAAAGATCTCCGAAGCAGCACTCTGCGCCAAAATTTACGCTGAACAGCAAGACATGGACCTGCACGAGGAACGGCACA